CAGAATACAGACCCAAAGATATCACTGAGCTTATACACTTCATCCTCACACACAACAATTTCACTTTTAATAATCAACACTTCCTCCAGATGATGGGAACAGCTATGGGCACTAAAATGGCCCCACAGTATGCCAACCTTTTTATGAACCACCTGGAAGAAGACTTCCTCAAGAACTGCACCATCAAACCCTTGCTGTAGAATTCACCCAAGGAACCTTGTCTGCCTATATCCTTAGACCAACACAGCTACAACCTAAACCCCTGCAAGAAATATCTTGGGTTTCTATCATGGGAACAGCATTATCCATTCTGAATCTTGCCTTTTGGGCTGGCAGCAGCAATGCAAGGTGAAAGTCACAAGACTTTCTTTACTTTCTTTTACTTTCTTTACTGCGGTTCACGAGCCGTGAACCGCAGTAAAGATAAAAGTTAGATGTTTAGCATGTTAGAAATGCAGACAAGGAATTACTCAGTCTGGTAACAAAACAACTTACAAACCAAAGGACAAAAGCTTGAGAGGTAGCAATGGACGAAGAATGGGGAACAAGAGACAACAGTAAATTAAAGAAATACCTCTGATTTAATAAAGCAACAGAAGGTTGCCAAAGTCATTCTGCACTGGCCACTTTGTTGCCAATAAACTACTGGTGTATTAGTCAGAATTACTTCAATTTTGAGTTTTGCTCCATTGATCGGAAGGCCAGTTAAAGGTGTTTGATCACCATTTTGGTGGGTGACTTACCTTGGGGTGACCCTTGATCGCTCCCTAACTTACCATTATCGCCTCTGAAAGACTGCCATGGCACGAGTGAACATCATCCAAAAGCTCACCAGCACAAGCTAGGCTGCAAAAGCCGCCATCCTCCACCACTTCTGCCATAGCTCTGGTCTTCTCAACAGCCAAATACTGTGCACCTGTCTGGGCCTCAAGTAGACATACCAAACTCACTGACACACAACTCTTCCCAGTAATGAGAACTCACTCTCAGACGCTGATATCAACTCCAATGCAGTGGCTACCAGTACTTTCAAACATTACTGCTCCCTCTATTCGATAGGATACAGCAACATACAGAGAAACAATACGTATCAATAGTAATCCAGACCTTTCCATCCAGAGACCTTCAAGATCTCCCAACTTGTCACATGATTTCACAAAAAACTTTCTGGACACGTACTGAGCATTGCCTAAACCACAACACTGAAGAAGCTTGGAAGAAAGCTTAGGCAGAATACACTTCCCCAAAAAACCTTGTCTCCAGCCCAACAGTGCAACAACTGGCCTTCAACCTTCCACGGAGTATGTGGACAACCCTTAATAGGATACGCCCTGGACGTGCTGGTGTGGCCAACTGATGTACAAGTGGCGCCTAAAAACCTTGCCTGGCTGTGACTCTGGAAACCCTGACCAAAACTATTGAGTACACGATAGCATCCTACCCCAGACATAAGTTTGAGGGTGATATCCTGGAGTTACACTCTTTGCAGCAGGGCACTGGTCTGATTGGGGAATTTGAAATTAAAACTGTGATGATAGCTTTTGCTCCTAAAGCCATATATAAGAAGTCAGAATTACAACCAAATCAGCAATTAAGGGACTACAATAGTGTTCCTCAGCCTCATTAGACTTGTGGCACGCCTCAGAAAACACCAGCTCTTAAACTTTCACTTATTTCTTGACTACAGAAAAATTACAGGGCAATTCTTCTGCTGCAAAGAACTCGGAAAGACTAGTCAGTGAGCATACTTTTGACGCACTGGATTCCTATTTGAAATCTCTGGATTTCTCACAAATCACATTTACGTATTTTCACATGTCACCATGCAAATATTAAAGCAGCACCCTCATAAGACCCTTGTTGAGAGTCACTAGACTAGGCCATCTAGTCAGAAATTCTAGTATTTCTAATTTAGCGTAAGGTTGCTGCTCTACATTCATTTTAGAAAGGTCAAAAAAACAGTGTGGTTTGAACCAAGGATGCTTGGAAATGTAGGGCAGTTTAGCCAATAGGCCCTTCTAGCAGGAGAGGGTCATTTATTGATATTAATGAATATTTGTAATACTAAAGAAGAAATCCTGATAGGCGCATTCGTTTTGATACAGGTCTCCAAGAGATGAAATTCCACTTACTTGGGACGCGTGACCCTGCATTCATAAGGCTATGACCCAGACAACATGGGTGCCTTCAAAACACTAACTTCTATGATTAGATATAGAATATGATATATATGATCAATATTCTATTGATTCCATCTACTTCATATAAAACAGTAGTAAAACATTTTAAGAAGACTTCCTCTCCCACAAGTCATTCTGAACAGCTGCATTTTGCAGTATTACTTTTTAAAAGTAATTACATTTTTAATATGTTTCCATCTGCTGCTATACCAGAAGGCAGACTTTCCTTGCTGCAGCAACCACAAAAGCTAACTGATTATCTGACCACATTCACCACAGAAAGGATGGCAAACAATCCTGCACCTGCAATGTTGATTATCTCTTCCTTTCATACACACCTTCCTCCACCTGTTGCTGTTCTAACCTTCTCTCATTAGCAATTAAATTTTTTTAAAAAGTGGCCTTGAGATGTTCAGCTACACTTACAATAGCTATTCTTCTGCAGTCTGACATCTGAGATGCAGGTAGGTCTTCTTTCTTACTGCTTACACAAGTGTTTGTTCCCCCTGAATTATACAGGCCTCTATCAAAATGAATCTGTTCGACTGCTAACAGAAATCATCATCATTGTACTTTTCTGCATATTTAACATATATTTGGGTTCATCTTTTCAAAAGACTTTAGGATATGCTTAAAAAAAATTGCCATGGAATGTGTATACTTGAGTTTTAATGCTACAAATCAGGGACAATTCCCACCAAGGGAAACACTGAGATTGAGCACATATGCAAGACTCATAATAGGAAAAACAACGAAACAGAAAAAAAACAAAGACCTTTAATTTTACCTCTCAATGCCAATACTTAATTTTGCAATAGAGAACAAGCTTTAGGAGTAGATCATCCATTTTTGGCATAAAGGATATTTTACGTCAGCCATGGGTGCTTCTTATCAAAAAGGTAGGACAAGGCCTTGTCCACGCTAGCAAAGGTTGTCAAGCAATATCAATCAATGCCCATGGGCAAATTATGCTGCTTAAAATTCTCATGCTAGATCCCTGAATGAAACTGCCATGCTAGCTGAAGGACTATTTTGTCAGTTTAACTGCAGGTACCCCAGGGGTTTTATTGATATGCCTATGCTGGTTCAGAGTGGGAGTTTCACAGACACTAGTGTGTCCTAAGACTTGCTATGGAAAACACAGGGCTCATTGAATGGTGTTCCCCAGACAGTTCTGTTGTGCTTGTCCCATGACTGAAATTGCGCCTCCCTTTTTTTTTTGTATGCATCTACAAATCCAGTTTTGTATGGTGCATTAAGATCTTAAATAGAATTATTTTCTAATACATTTTTCAGAAAAAGGTATTTTAATCAATGAGGTTATCCAAACAGTCATTAAGTTTAATGGAAAAACCCTGAGGTTACTGGACTATCACTGAAAATTGTCCTGAACATTCTTGTAAATCAGAAATATTTACAAATGTATACACTTGTAAACACAGCGTCCCATTACAGTAATCATCAGCACAACGCAGACATCAAGATAAGACCATTGCTGTTGGGATCTGGCCCCACAATAATGCAAAGAATGACATTTGACTTAAAACTTCCTCCCTACCTTTGGCTGCTTCTCTACAGTTGTCTTCCAGAACTAATTCTATCCCAGTTCCCCATCTCAATCTGGCCCAAAGAAACATTCCTAATCACTTATAGCAATATGGATCCATCTGTTCCCAGGACTTAACAGTAATTCCTTAACATTTAAAAAAAAAGCAGGATTTTAGACATCTCTGGTATAGATTGACTGCAAAAGTTGTGACCTTTGTTAGCCTGTTAGAAGTCTATACACTAGGTAGATTGGCTAAAAAATAAATTAGGTCAGTTAAGTACTATAAATGCAACCAATACCTGCATACTTAGGCCCTTATCAATACAAATCAAATTTGCCTAACATCAAATGGTCAAAGACTGCAAGTTTAACATTTTAATGCCCAAAGGAGGATTGATATCACTCTGCTAAAATACTATCTGGTTAAACATAACCTACAAAGTTGTTTTTGGTAGGCTTTTATTTAATCACCCAACACACAAAGTTCTCAAACATGACTTGTGCCATAAACAATAGGAGATTACTGTTTTACAGTAATATTTACCTTATAAATAACCCACTTTCTGTATGAGCAGAGCTCACTTACCTGCACTGCCAAGTTGTTTATAAAACCTGTACTCTAAATGGAGCTGTGGGGCACGGGATTTTATGGGTTCCTGCAAAGAGTGAAGAAATAAGAGTCACTCTTCAATAATGCACAATTTTCCACATAATTGGTTTAGCTTGAAACTTTCCACCATTTGTGTTAACACCCAAATAAATACTGCAGTTAAGCTATGTACAGAGTAAGAAAATTCCAGCAAAGGAACAGGCCATTAGTTGTCACCTAACTGAACAAAGAGAAAAATAGAAACTGCTGTAAGAGCATTGATTGATGCTCTGAAACAGCTATTCTAGACAGTTTATTTAAAAAAAAAAAATCTGCAATGAGGAAAAGCTCTCTCATTAAAAATAATTCTTGTTGATGCATATTTAGAATAGAAACTTTGCTGAACAGTACTTATTCCCTGAAGAACTACCATGACCTCATAAGTACATTCCTGGAAGAGAAATCTAAAAGGAACTAAGTTACAGGTTCATAAGCAGTGGCCACGGGATCATTGATAAGCCAAAGCATCTTTGATCATCACAGCCTTAAGTTTTTGGAGCATTTTCAGTCACTTTGTTGCTTTCAATCAGTATCCTTAATTGTATAAAGCTACTGCCTTGCTCTGAACAAGAATACACAACAACTGTGAAGCATGCCAGCCTCAGACTAGAATCTTCTGTTATAAGTCTAAATGAATAAATAAAAATATCCATCCATCTTTATTTTCTTGGTTTGGGGGTAGGGGGTACTTCACCTGTATATGATGCAACTTCCCAGCCATTTCAACCATCTTTAAGGTATAGCTTTTTGTCTATGCACACTGTCTGTATCTAAAAGATTCAAATATTAACTATGTATGTAGGCTTCTGGAAACAGAGGTATGTGAGACTTATTCAAGCCTTTGTTTTTAATTAGATTTCTCATGTGATTCAACTAGAAGTACATTAACTAGACCTATTGCTCATACCCAATATTGACACTTTCATATTAAAAGGAGGCAAGTAGGCGACTGATGCATCATACTTGTGACCAAGAATGTTACGGTTCAAAGACCCTCAAAGTAGGAGGTAAGTTTGACCATATGTGGGAGTAACTGAAGGAGGTTACATATATATAAATTTGGAAAAACATGTTTATATTCATACAGTTTTAAAAGTTGTTAACAACATGACAAAGAATCTAATCCGATAAAGACCTACCTGATCCCAATACTGAAATTCAACTTCAAAAAGTATTGGGAACTTAATCTAAATGCGAAACCAGCTTCATTTAAGTGAATGTTACGTTCCTTTACTGAAGCTGCTATCTAGCATCTTTCAAAAGTTCCAGAAATCCATAAGGTACCATTTCAAAACAAGTTCTATTACCCCTCCCTACCCCCATATACACCCACACTTTCACTCATATGATTAGGGCCCTGCAGGCAAAGCCCTACAAGGAGAGACTGAGGGCCCTGGATCTCTTCTCTCTGCAAGAGAAGGCTGAGAGGTGATCTTGTGGCCACCTACAAATTCATCAGGGGAAGCAGCAAGGAATAGGAGATGCTCCATTTACCAGGGCACCCCTTGGAGTAACTAGGAACAATAGCCACAAACTGACAGACAGCAGATTTAGGTTAGACATCACCAGGAAGAACTTCTTTATGGTAAGAGTTGCCAGAATCTGGAACAGGCTTCCAAGGGAGGTGGTGCTCTCCCCTACCTTGGGGGTTTTTAAGAGGAAGCTAGACATGCACCTGGCTGGGGTCATCTGACCCCAGGCTGGGGTCACCTGACCCCAGAGCTCTTTTCTGCCCAGGACAGGGGGTTGGACTCAATCTGCTAAGGTCCCTTCCAACCCAAACATCTATGAATCATCCCCAACATGGTTATAACAATGTGCTTCACTTCTGGCTGAATGGACCACCTGCAAAATTCAGCTGGCATTCTATCTCTGGCCTCATTTTTGAGTCCCCTAGGACTACAGAAACAGACTTCCATGGTGTAGGAACTGCAAGGTAAGGTCCCCTTACAAAACTAGCAAAAGGATCTTGGCTGGAACTTCTATCTATACAAGCTGCTTATAACAAAACAAAACAAAAAAAAAAAAAACAAACCCCAAAACAAAACAAAAAAACCCCTCTCTGTTGGCTAGCAGAAAAAAATATCAGAGATTTAAAAAAAACCAAAAAAACCCCCCAAAAAACTCATGACTACAAAAAAGGTCTAGAATTAGAGAAAAACATGGACAGCCCCATGGCAGGTGGACTTGATTCTCCTGTTTTGTGTGTACTGCTCAGTCAGTGAAGACCCAAATACCCAATACATTAACCCTTTGGGCAAAGTAATGCAAGAACGCCAGTGCACATGCAGGCCACTATTGTACTTTAGCATGAGCCATATAGGTTGGGACTTTTAAGTTGTCTTCTGTCCATTTGCCAGAATTGCGGTAGTCGATTCTAGCTTGACCACAATAAATGGCCATCCTCTCGGGAAGGTTCTGAGAGCTGCTGGTAAATCTTGCTGCTACATTTGAAATCCCTGAGTTGTTGCTATTTACTATACAAGAACATCATTCAACCAGAGAAGCACAGAGCAATCACCATCCTTTACATAAAACTCCAAACCAGCACATGTGTGCTCTCTCCTCCTCCCCCTCTCTAAAAGAAATAAAACAAAGTTAATAAGACTACCTTGAAAAGTGAATCTGTTTGACACCTTTTATTGCCCAATTATTTCAACTGAAGCAACAACTATGTCCAATGCCAGTAATTCCAATCTTCACCAGGTGTAACAAATTGCTAAATCAGAGTCACTTATAACATTACCATCTAGAGATGCAGACCAGAAATTGTGGCCAAGAATATTTGTAAGAAGACTAACAAGGCAAGACATATCCCACTGGCAGAGTAAAGTGTGGCAAAGCATCTGTCGCTAACCTTGGATTTTTCACCTCCCTCACTCATGAAGATAATTCTGCACAGTTAGATCAATGAATGCCACAGAACAAAATTCTGACCTTCCTTGATTTAATTAAACTTGTAACACCATGAATCCTATAGCTAACCAGAAGTCAAATTTAAAAGAAATGCTTACATTTCCTGGTAAGGAACTGGAAGGATAATATTTATTGCTGCCCATCTCAAGCTCAAAGGACTAAATAGGCACCTCTTGGTCTTGCAAGATGATAGAATTAAAGTTCAAAGGATGATTCCAAAAAACAGGCAGGGCACAAAGCTTGTTCTTCCTTCCCTCCCTCCCCCACATCACTGAAAGACTGTTTTCTTGGAGCAGTCCCCCTCGGAAGAATAAGCTGTTCATAACTATTTCATTTCAATACCAACCTTAATGTTATTTACAAGGATGGAACAAGACTTCTGGGATTTAAGGTCAGGTAAGGCACTGCTGCAGAAAATTAAAGAAAGCCATTCGTAGGCCTCAATTTATATACATGATAAGACAACTTGTGATAATTTAGTCTAGAAGGCCCATGTGTATTCCTTGATTTTGTCCATGAATTGAACACATTATTTTATTGGTTTTTATAAACCCAGGTTAGCAAGGAAAAAGCACTGAACAGCTGGATTTCACTTTATCCTACAGCCCAAGAGCTTAGTTCTTATGCGTTCCAGCAAATTAGTTCATCAATTGAATCTTTATAGTAATTATGATCTGTACTCCAAGATCTAAACCTAATTCTGACTAGCTAATTACATAATCTTCAGTAAGCCACTCAAACCAGTTCTTAAAAAAAAAACAACCACCCACTGTGTGCTTGATTCAGGTGTGCAATGAAAGGACAGTACCTTTAAAACACATTTGGCATCTATGCTCCATCACATTAATTGCATGGGACAGCCAAATGCATTTTTGCACAACCTGCAAATTTCAGAAACCAGGTTTCAAATTTGAGAGTACAATTCCCATTCTCTCTCTCTCTTTTTTTTTTTTTTTAAACAAAGGAAGAAAAATCTTTCTAAGTTCAGTTAACATTGGCAGAGATATGAAAGAAACTATGATTTAAATACCTGAATTAAAGTGTTTGAGTATAAAACTCATGGACAATTGAAATGGGCATATTTCAATGTTGTTGATAGTCCCATAATTGGAAAAGTAGCTCCAATACAGTAAGTAAGAGGTGGCCAACCTGTGGCACACTGTTACTCAAGTGGTACAAAATCTGCATATGGCCCAGGGCAAGTTGAGGAGGAGAACAGGCAGTGCAGCAACAGATAGGGCATAGAGCAGCAGATTGTACAGGGGAAAGGGATTAGAGTGGCACTTGGGAAGGGGGCAAGGCTAATTTGTGGCATACTTGCCAAAAAGGTTGGCTGCCATTGCAATACATGACCAAGTTGTTTGAAATATCAGTTCTTCAGATTTCATCCTGAAATAAGGGAAAGAACTGATAAAATAAAGGTTAAAACATTAAAGAACGAGAGCAAGAATCCAAAGGGAAGGCTAATGCACAGCTACATCTATACAGATATTAGAAGGGTTTCGTAGGGACATCCCACACTTATCCAAGCCATTTTGAGATTGAAATTTAATAGAGCTTCGCATATAACAAGGCATGGTTTTGATGTTAATACAGCACTGAATTATCTCTTGGTTTCTTCCAATGACGTGCCTTTGTGGGATCATCTCTCAAAATGAAAGAAACTAAGAAGCTTCATATAAGAAGATTTCTGTACGACTACGAACTCCCTATTGCTAACTGCTTCTGTCTAAAGAACACATTGGTTAAACCTGACTATAGCTGCCTCAGTTTTCTCAGTATAGGGTCACTCAGCTTCACATTTTAACAGGGGGCAGAGAGAGAAGGGCAGAAGGGAGTCTTCAGCCATAACTTTTAGCAGCTACTGGGGGACTTGCTAACTACTCCTTACAGATTACACAGCATTTCAAGAAATCACTAAGGGGCTCCTTAATACAAAAGTGGTTGAGCCCCGACTTTTTGTGACCTGGTTTTAAGGATAAGATAGAGCATATTACAAAAAAATGCAATAATGGTTCTACAGAGATCAAACAGGGCAGAACAGGATTGCACCTAGGATCATAGGAAACTAGAGCTAGAAGAGACCTCATGAGGTCATCTCATCCAGCCCCCTACTCAAGGCAGGATCATCCCAGCCCAGAGTCTAACCTGCTCTTGAAAACCTCCAAGACTCTGCAACTCCTCTAGGCAGTCTGTTCCAATGCTTGCCCACTCACACAAAGTTCTCCGAACCCCCAACCTACATTTCTCCTTCTGTAGCTTGAGGCCATTCCTCCTAATCCTGTCCCTTACAGCCACAGAGAAAAGTTCATCTCCATCCTTTCTGTAATAATCACCCTTCAAGCATTTAAAGACTTATCAAACCCTCCCCCACCCCCTTCTCTTCTCCAGACTAAGTAATCCTAGCACTTCAAACCAGGCTTTCTTCAGAAGTCTTGCCTCCTAGGCCCCAAATAATTTTTGTTGCTCTGCACTCAACTCTCAACAAGACCATCCACATCCTTGTTGAAATGAAGGGCCCAAAACTGGACACAGCACTCCAGATGAGGCTTCACCAGTGCTAAAAAAAGCAAAACAATTACTTCCCTTGATGTGCAAGTGACACTCCTGGTAATACAACCCCGTATACAGTTCGCTTTATTTTTCCAACAAGAGGACATTGTTGGCTTACATTCAGTTTATGGTCTACTGTAACCCCCAGGTCCTTCTCTGCAGTCCTGCAGCCTGGCAAGTCATTCCCAGTCTATATTGGTGCATTCACTTATTCCATCTCAAGTGCTGAACTCTGCACTTGGTCATTATTGAATCTGATCTGATTGATTGTGGATCATTTCTCCAACCTATTCAGGTCATTCTGGATCCTAGCCCTACCCTCTGGAGTATCTGAAAATGCTCCCAACTTCATGTTGTCCACATATTTGCTAAGCTTGCACTCAATCCCATTATCCAAATCATTAAATGAAGATAGTAAACAATACTGGACCCAAGACAGAGCCCTGGGGAGCACCACTTGATACCTTCTTCTGACTAGACACTGAGCCATTGATGGCTTCTCATTGAACAAGACTATGCAACCATTTATGTATTCACTTTACAGCAGTTTCATCTGCATTTCCTTTGCTTGTTAATAGGAATGTTGAGTGTCAAAAGCCTTACTACAATCAAGGTATAAATCACACCCACGTCTTTTCCCTGTCCACAGAGCCTGTCACTGTATCATAGAAGGAAATCAGGTTAGTCAGGCAAGACTTGCTCTTGGTGAATCTATGCTGGCTTCTCCTGATCACTTTGGCCTCCTCTAGGTGCTTCACAATGAATTCCTTGAGAAAATGTTCCGTGGTCTTTTCATGTATCAAGGTCAGGCTGTCCTTCCTGAAAAAGGAAGATACAGGTCTCTAGGTCCCTGTATCTTCCTTTTTCCCTTTCTTAAAGATGGGCACTATATTTGTCCTTTTCTAGTCATCTGGGACCTCACCTGACCTCTGCAAGTTATCAAAGAGGATAGCCAATGGTCTGAAACTACACCTCTGCAAGTTATCAAAGAGGATAGCCAAAGATCTGAAACTCCCCCAGCCAATTCCTTCATCTAGCTTCTCTAAGCATTTCTTAACCTGATCTGCCATTACTCTAGGCTATTTGTCTATATCCCTATCTTTGCTGACAACTGCACTCATCATCTGGTAGCTATCCCTATTTGTGAAAACCAGAAAAGGTGTTAAATATTTCAGCCTACTCTGCATCATCCATAACTAGACTGACTTCTGTATTCCATAAGGGACTTACGGTTTCTCTGGTCTTCCCCTTAATTTTAATATATTTGTAAAAGACAGTTAAGAGGGATCTCATGTCCCTTGCCAGCTGCATCTCAAATTGTGCCTTCCTAATTTTCTTCCTGCATGCCCATGAATCTACCACTTTCCTAATATTATGACCAAGTTTCCACTTGAGATAGGATTCCTTTTCTGAGTTTCAATTCCTTGAAGAGCTTGCTGTATAGCCAGGATAGCCTCCTACTGTTCTTCCTATTCTTCTGTTGCACTGGGATAGCTTGCTCCTGAGCCCTTAAGAGGACCTCCTTAAAGTAGTCAGCTGGACTCCTTTTTCCTTCAGACTTGCCTCCCAAGGGGTCCTGCCTGCCAGTTCCTCAAGTCTGTTAAAGCCTATTTTCCTCAAATCCAGTGTCCTCCCCTGGTTGCTCTCCTTTCTTCCTCCCCTTGGATCTTGGATTTATCCCTGCATTGTCACTGTCACTCAAGTCACTGCTCACCAACAGGGAAGAATTGGTTGAGAATGTGAAGGTGGAAAGTAAGACAAGAAGAGCTCTCTCACCCCCATCTTCTTCCCTGCCCCCCGCCCCAGTTGGCCTTTCTACCATCTGTATCAAAAAATAATTCCCAAAACACTCCAGAAATTTGCTGGACTGCTTGTGCATTGTTGAGTTTCCCTCCCAGCAGATGGGCCAATAATTTAAGTCCCTCATGAGAATCAGGTCCTGTGATGTGGAAGCTTCTGTCAGTTGTTTAAAGAAGGCCTGGTCCATCTCCTCCCTCCTCCTAGTTTGGTGGCCTGCAACAGACTCCCACCATGACATCCCTCCTGCTGTTCTCCCCGCTCACCTTTACTCAGGCTTTGAACATGCTGACTTCCACTTTGTACTGCACCTATGAACACGCGTACATGGCCTTTATATATAAGGCTACATCTCTTCCTTTGGTCCCCTGTCTATCGAATCGACTCTATCCTACCTGAACAGGCTGTACTCACCCAAGACTACTCCAGTCATGTGAATGATCCAAGTCACCATAATCCCAATTATATCATAAATCTGTGCCTGTACTAGGAACTCCAGTTGTTCCCGTTTGTTCCCCATACTTTTCATCTTAGCGTAAAAACATTTCAGGTATCTGACTGTCCTACCCTTTCCCCGAGAACACTGCTAAAGCTTCCATTATTGTTTCTTCTTACTATTTTTTTTATCCAGGTTTCCAGGCTCTTTACTTACCTCTGGGCTTTTGTTTCCATCCTCCAATGAACCTAGTTTAAGCCCTCTTTGCTAGGTTAGCAAGCCCATACAAAAAGACTTTTGTTCCCACTTCCCCCTCCTCATCAGATGAACCCCATTTCTTCCCAGCAGTCCATCTTTCTGGAACACTAACTCATGGTTGAAGAAGCCAAAGCCCTGCTGGTGACACCACCTATGCAGCTACATGTTACATCTCCAGGATGCATCTGCTCCTAGCTAGGCCTTTACTCTTGACTGGAAGGACCAGCAAGAACATCACCTGGGACAGTGTCCCTTTCACCCTCTCTAGCCTGTATAACATCTTGCCAAAAGTGAGTAAACTGAGAGGAAAAAAAAAAAGTGTTGCCCACTATCAAGTTTTGCCTTAAAGCCTGCCTGAAAGTTTCAATTTTCAAACTAGAAAAGACTCATAAGAACACTAGAAGAAAATGTGACCACTTGGACAAAGTATAATGGTCAAGCATCTCAAGACTTCTTATAAGCATTAAATGTCACAAAACTGCCACAAGATTACCAAAGTTATTTTACTGCTGAGAAAATAGGACATAGATTTGGCAGCTTGACTAATGACGTAAGTTTTAAGAGCCATGGTTAAAACTCCTTTTTAACGGTGAGTTACATTTCCTAAACAAATGTTGACCACATTACCCATCTGAGTTCTAAAGAACAACTGAGCAAGAGGGATAGCTTCATCTCAACCAGCAGCTAGCCTCCTCCAAAGCTTTTCCCTCCCTTAGTCACAAGTCACTGCATTTCTTGTGCGAGAAGCAAGAACTTTCCGTATATGCTTTCCACATTACAGGCATCATGTACGATTTGAGAACTGTATCCAGAAGACCATAATATTGGACATGTGAAGGATATCTATTATGCAATGTACTGCTCACCTCAATTAAAAAAAAAGTCTACTGCATACCACTCAAAAGGCTAGAATTCAAATAGTTTTCAAATGATCTTTGTAAAAATTCTTCACAGCAGGCAACCAGACTCATTATTCATATATTTGGACATTCTTTCTAGGGTGTCTTGGAATAAAATGCTAGTCTATACTAGTTACTGTGGCCCTTGATTCAGAGCACCCAAATTAAGCTGAAAGGAAACTACCCAGCTCTCTGAAGAGCCAGAAGGCAGGCAAGGCCAAGCCAGCAAGAGCTCATGACACTTGATAAGGTATTACATACCAGTGTTCTGGCTTCACCTTTCCTCAAGAGAGGCCAATTTTAAGATAAGCTTTTTCCACTACCACTTACAGATGAATGTAGAGCACTGCACAGCTTAATTTCTACTTTCCAACCCATGTGCAAAAGACTGCCAAATTACTGGTAATCTTGGCAACGCAGAATGGAAAGATTCTTTACAAGCTCAGTGAAGAAATGCAATCATGGACATGGGCAATCAGCCACACCTGTAGCATTGCTAGAATGCTTAAGCAGTAGCACCACTGAATGCAAACTTGTGATCTGCTCCCAGTTCAGTCCAGGTTGTGATGTAAAGGCAGGTGAAAGACACCTACCATCTTGCGTATATACTACAACTGCACTTTTAAGCATGCTCTAAACATCTAGTCCAAGACATTTTGTTCTCACTTCATAATGCACTACCCTAACCCATGATGATCTTGTCTCTGTTCAGCAATACTGCAGTTTAAGTTAAGCGTAGGGTGCGAGAAAGCTGCCTTCTGCATTTGACATTTGCAACTGTCAAGAGCCATTTTAAAAAAAATAAATTAAGGTTCTACTCACCAGTTTGATCGCTACATATTCATTGGTATAGAGATTTTTGCCTGTGGAACAAAAGAGAGAAAAAACTTGAAGTACTACATTTGTGACAGACACTTTCTAATTTAAGAGGTCAAGCATAATAACAGTCATTATTTGACGTTGAAGGCAAACAGCAATTTTGAGGCTACAATGGGCAGACTCAAAACAAGTTTGTTTAATACATATTAAATATAATTTACCAGGCTAAAATACAAACATCATATTAACAGTAAGGTACCAAAAATTTCAGCGCATGGATTAATACAAGCATGAATGCTCTGAAAAGAGCTGATATTCAGAGATATTTCCTGGACGTGCTATGGTTTGTCATATGAACCACAGTCAAAAAACTGATTAGATGACTAGCTGATATGCTGCAAATTTGTTTGCAGTAGAAGAGACTAAACTAGTAAGGTGATGGAGTAATTTCTTAATTGTGGTTTCAACATAAAAAGTTTCCCGTAAGCTAAGAACCACTCACAGTTGTTGCTCTACTAGTTGAAAGCCAATATCTAGGGGAGATAGCTCTACCTGTTACCATATAAAAAAAACCCTGACAGCATCACTGTTGATGAGCATGCTACTTTTGACTTCTGCCAACACATGAGCACATTGTTTGAATAAAGCTATGTCCTGTACAACAGCACAAACACTACCCTTGGCATAAGAGATCAGCAAAACTCAGTGGCAAAATAAGTATTCATGTAACATATTGCCTGAATTATTATTCGCTACAAGATTAGCTTTCTGCAGTGGCACATTCTTAAGTGTTGGGACTTCAAACAAGAATATGCCAGTTTTCTTGAGGACAAGTAAGAAGCAACATGGCTCAAGTAACTGAAACTTAACAAGAATGTCCTCCAATGGAAAAAAAAAGTGTTTCTAAAATTCTAACTTCTCCTGGACCTTTTAAGCATTCACTTTGCAGTTTCTGGAACTAGTAATATATTCAGAGTCAAAAGAAAGCCAGTCGCATCACTAGTGACATGCTGAGTGTCAGCCAAAATTTCTAGGTACTTGGACAACCCTAAAGTGGATACTAGGTAGGAAATGCTGGTCACCCCATCTCCATATTTCTTCCTGGACATGCACGCTTTAAGAGAAGAGAAAACGGGAAGAGTCTGCAGGTTCAACAAAGAAAGACAGATACAAAATAGGCACCTTTAATCCCTAAAAACCTGCTCATCAGAGGTTTTTTGCATGTTCTAGTTAAGAACAGAATTTTAAAGCTAACTTGACAAAAAAAATGCAGCAGTCTAGCTGCCCAAGCTGATGTGGCAATGAAAGGTGTCAAATACACCACTACATTAAAATGCTGCTATTTTAGAAGCTTCAGCAAAGCATGCCTAGGTAACAGATGTCACAAGTAACTTGCAATGCTCAAGAATTTTCCAAATTACAAAGATGGATCTTAATTACAAAGATGGACAGAGCTGGAAGTCTCAACCTAGCAAAGTAACTAGCTACATTGTTTAGTGACAGCTGTGAAGGAACAGACAATTTGAGAACAAGAAATACTGTTTGAGTGGATTCAGAACGCTTCCTCTAACACAAGCACCAGCTTCACAAACCTTCAAACCCAGCAACAGAATTATTTTAAGGTAATACTCACAAAGCTTTTTAAAAAGCTATTGCATAGTAGTTCTTAACTGCTTTACCTCTTGACTCGCTTCTTCAGCTGCAGTACTTGATTTGTGGCTGCAGAACAAACCAAGTGCTAAGCTCATTTCCCATTAAGGCACCAGGCCACAAACTTAGTCAGTCATGTGAAATGCTGCACAAAACAAGCACCATGTTCAAAGAAATGAAATATCAAAAAACAACCATTCAAAAGCAACTTAAAAAAAAAGCATAAGCTTGGTCTCCTTAAAAAAATAATATTAATATTCATAAATAAGTGGGAAAAACTGGTCACGAAGTGCTTTGGTATGGATTCTGGAAACTATATGGGCTGAAGTTTTGAACACTTGCACCTGTATCTTCCACCAATAACCCTTGATTGCTAAAGGATATACTTGAAATACTATACCAGTGGTTCTCAACCTTTTTGAACTTGAGGCACCCCTCACTGGATGGGAGGAGCCCGTCCATAACTTCTGTGAACTGAATGGCATCCAATTTCAAAAACTAAATTTCAATGCTTACTTCCTTGCATACCATAGAGATCCTGCAGTGGGGACAGGATCTTCCATGCAGGGACAAGCCTGATCTTATCTACTTAGTTTATCTGCTTATCTCTTCACACCACAGAGCACCCTTCAAAGGACCTGGCAGTACTCCTGGGTGACCCGACACCCTGGTTGCAATCGCTGAATTATACCCATTCTAGTAATTCACATAGCCTTGGACACTGATGCCAAATCCCTTAATTCTCAAGAGACATACCAGTAACATTCAGTGACTCTAACCCAAATCAGAACTTAAGCCTAACAAAGGCATAAGTATGCATCTGTTGAGCTGCCTGTTCAACTCTGCCAAACTTCAACCCGTGTTATAGTTAGACTGTACTGCATTTACATACGTAAGGTTTCTGAATGTTAGGTTCCATGCAAACACCTCACTCAGCCCAAATAGTAAAAAGGACATCCAATAAAGTACCAACCTTGTCCCTTTCCCCTCCCTTCATTTGGATAAACAAATTAGTGTAGATTCAAATTCCTTTCCAAGTGCAGTTTATACAGGCATGGTCTCTGCTCTTCACCTTGTATTAACATAAATTTGGGCTGGGTACTTTAAACATTCTGACTGAGTGGCAAAACAATCCTATATTTCTACTGAACACTTTAGGTAGGGAAACCTGTATACCAGGGAGATTTAGAACTCCATATTGCAGATTGGGGATACAGTCAAAAATGCCTTGTACAGAAACTTCAGAAGAATACATCCAGGACCGTAATGATTTTTATGAAAGATAGCAAAGACGACAAGGTGCTAACATGCAAGTGCTACAAGAGTAAAATACTTTTTGTGCTCAGATGCAATCTCTTTAGCTCAGTGGTGTTCACCACCTCCACCCTACAGGGCCCTGTCATCTGGCCCACAGGACTCCCCACAGCAATTAGAATAGCTCTGGAAGCTATTGAAGCTGACACCACTCTCCCACAGCCCAATTTCTGGACTCATAAAGAATCCTATGAGACGGATTACATGATCCCACATGCCAGATGAAGCAGTATAGAGTCTGGCCAGCACACAGACCTGCTGTGTCTAAATCTGGCAAACAGGGCCAAACTAGGCCAGCATGCCAGACTGCACTTGCAGACTGACCCCTGCACTGGATCTAGCCTGCAGACTGACCCTGTCCACAGGACTGGTCTGTGGGATCTGAAGATTAAGCACCACAGTTTTAGGTAATCACATTTAGGTCTAGCTGCTCTTCATGGAATGTGTTCATTCAATCAATCAAATCAATCAATCAAAGCAGTGCCACAGAGGTATGAAATGCAAAAGCTAAAACTAGGAGTTTGCCACCAATTACAGTATACAGATTTTAAAATGTGTAACTTTTTATACCCATAACAGATCAGTAAATTTTGGGCATCCCAAAAGAAGTTTTCATTACAAATATATAAAACTTCCTTAAAGCTGTTTTGGGGAGACCTAGAAATGGAAAAAAAAAAAAGGTCACTGTAAACCCAGAAAACAAAATTACTATCAGTATCTTATTTATATTATACTATATACCTAGGATTTTCAGAAGTGTCTAGCAATCAAGAAACTCAAGCCCCAATGGGAAGAGAGAGACCCACGTCCCATTTTAAGGTTCATAATCTGTTAAAAAAAATGAATATGCAAGTCTAACACGTCAACAGGTTGCTTAGAGCTGCAGCACCTTCTACAGATACTTACAGCCAACTATAATAGAAAAAACAAGTTACAAGTGTGAGAAATTGCACTTCATGGCACTCTACATAAAAGATTCCATTTGTGACTGAAATTATAACTATAGGATGGTTTGGATAGGGATGATCCTGTCTCAGGGAGCAAGGGGGTTGGACTAGATGACCTCTGGAGGTCCCTTCCAGCTCCACTTCTCTATGATTCTGTAAATCACACCACACTCTTCAACCAATGCTGCTTTTGAAAAGTCACAAATCTCAATTCCTTCAAGCAGTTATTGTATTTTTATTTTTTTATGCAGTACACAGTACAACTTCAGTGCAATTCATAGCACCTGAGCCTCCAAGACCAGTTACTAGTTCAACTGTTAATTGTGGTTACAGCTGCACTAGAGACTGTAGTGCAGTGCAGAAGTAATTGAGATACCTTGGCTACCAGAGATTTTCTACAGGTGGCATCACAGACAAAACCAGCCTGAGAAGCAGGATGCATGAGCCCATGCATTCAGCAACCAAGCTAACTCAGCTATCACTAGACAACACTGCAGACTGCAAAAGATGCATTGTGTGTCTTATCTGGAGAATCCAAAGAGGATTCTTCCCAAACAGACTGATGTGATGATACCTTCATTTTTATTAAAAGTCTCCATGCTCCTTTCTGCAACTTGTGAAAAATTTACCCCCTCCAGTTAAATTTTCCAGGGCAGTGGTCGGGGGGGGTCATTCGGCCCCCTGCCAGAAAACAACTTCCGGCCAGAGGTCAGCTTTAACTAGCTTCTCAAAATGAGAGGATTAAAATTAGGCTCACCCTAATTTTTCTGTTGTTCAATCCATTTGTGCTCTTCACTATGAATGATTCAAAATAAGAATTGCTATATTGTGCTCAATTGCATTTAATTCTGGCTGCTAGGCTAATTTTTAGGGTGAGTTAGTTAATTTTTTCACGTCCAGGTTTGTCTCGGTGTCAGTATCCATGGTGTTCCTGTGCTTACTTCTCAACAGCCTCTAACTGGGGTGCTTTTTGGTACATGGAAAGCATTCACAGTCTTGTCGCCTGTTTCCCTTGTATCTTGTTAAAGACACAGTTAACGCACTCCAATCACCACCTCACTAGGTGCATTAACCACGTGCCTGTACAGGTGTCAGTAACCAAAATACAGGGGCTGCTACTGCTCCCTGAATAA